TTTTATGCCGGATATGAATTGCTGAATCAACGTTGATCCTTCAGTTTTCTTCTGTGGAACTTTAGAATACTCAAAATCGTACTGCTCGGTTTAATCGAGAAACAAACTGCTTCATTGCTCCCCATTTTCCTGAATAATGCGAGAGAATCGGAATCGAGCAGTGAACATATTCAGTTGCGATCCCACGGAACGGTCCAAGCTGCTGAGAGCAGATTGTACGTTGGAACACGCTTGTAAATTGAGATCGTCAAATTTTCGCTGGCGGGTACGTGCTTTGGCATGCTATGCTTGTAGACAACACCGGTTTAGGTAGAAGTTTCTTATACTCTATCTTGCCGAATGAGACCGGTGAGGGCTATAGATCTGCTGTGGGAGCCATGAAAGCTATGTGCTCAGCATTTGCACAATAAAAGACTATAGTAATGGATTGTAGCTTGGTTCAGTACAACGCGTTTTCAGAATACTTTCCATCCTCTAATTTGATATTTTGTCGATTCCATCCTGTTAAGGATTTGAAGAAGAAACGTAACCCGCTATCTGGTATGACAGCGTTCAAAAAGCGACGCATCTTTCAATGGATACGCAACATGGTGTACTGTGGTAGTGAGATATCTTTACGTAGATTCCTAGCCGCCGTAGGAAGTCGTAGCACAGAAGCAGGTGTTTATTNGTTTATTTGCGCCGAACTTGGTTAACTTACCTAGGGCAGTGAACACGGTATGCCGCGAGGACTAGGTTGACTTTAGGAAACCTAACTACCAACCGGGTGGGGACGGAAAATAGGCACCTCAAGGAAGACTTGTCTCCTCGGTCTTCATTAGTGGATGTATTTAAGAAAGTGCTACAACGAGTAAGGTCACTGGAAGTGACGCATGGAATTCATCTTGTTAAAGATTCCATGAGGGGTATCCGACACGCAGTAGCATGCAGTCGTTTAAACCGTTGCTCATACGAGTAATACCATTAGCGCAGAATATATTATTAGGTAACTGGAAGTAATGCAAGATTGAACGAATTCTTCACGAGAGATGGTTCTTCATGGTCGTGGATAGTAAGAGCAAGGGTTATGAAAGTAGTACTGCAGGGGAAACGAAGTGTGAGTGTTATTTCTATGCGCAATGGTTGTTGCCCTGCTTTCATGTGGCCAAAATATACGATCTGGTTAGTTGGGATATTCAGTCTTTTTCCAGATAGGTGGATTATAAACCGCAGAAGCAAATTCTGCACCAAGATATTGGTATAGATTTCATTTGAGATCGGATTTTGTGGGGACATTACCTACTTCATTGTCGAGCCTATTTCAAGGTGGAATGACCCCGTGGGTGGAAGCAAATCAGTGGATTAGTACACGGGTACGCGGTTTTAAGAGTTTCATGCTATCCCCACGAAGTTTTTCCATAGTATTCCCGACGAAGTAATCACAAACCCCGTCGTGAAAGTCAGTTTCACTTCGTATTCGTTGATGATCTTAGGCTGAAAATTTCAGAATATTATTAAGAATAGCTTTTGATAGTTATATTGAAGGTGCAGTTCTTATACGTTTAGTATGGGTACATTTCCCTCCCGAGAACTCGTTCATGCATAATAACCAATATTTATTTTACTATTTTATGTAAAATGAATTTCCCTTTAATTGTTTTGCTTGTTGGCTGCTGTATTGAAACCGGCGTTATGTTTAGGGTTTTTGATAAAGGAAATAATTTTTGAGCGACAGTGATCTCCAGTTGGGTTTTTCATGGCTTGGATAATGGGGATCGATCAAATGACCTTTTTTTAATAAAGCCGCGTTGGGATGCTGCGCGCTTACCATCTACAGGTTCCCCTGATGAACGTATGGCGAATAGAAAGATTAATAATGAAGTCGCGAGTAATGTGACGAGAGGGACGTGAACTAGTTCTGGCTAGAGTTAAGGACTACAAATCACACAATAAAACTTTAGAGGAATGAACAATCTTACATTTGGTAAGATGCGACTTCGCACTTTTACAGACAGATTGGATGTGACGATGCTAACTACCATTGTGACACTTGGCATTACGAAATCTACAGGATAGCCGCGAATGTCTTTGACCACAGGAATTGCACTTGTTCCATCGCCCAATCCGTTGGTCATTGTGGGTTGGGGAACTGATGCTGCTTGGTGTTTTCGAACCCTTTTCGAAAAACCGCTTTTGTCGGTATGGTGACTGTTATGAATTGCTTGCATTGAACAACAACTAGATTTTGTAACGACCAAAAGGCGATTTTCCTGGTCCGAGCGAAACGAAAAACACTTCGTCTGTATGCGTTCAATAAAATAACTCTTCGCTCGTTCTGGATAGCGATAAACAAATTTCAGAGCAACGCGTAGCCCAAATTATTGAGAACCAAGTCGATCCAAAAATAACCTACGGTAATATTTTTGCAATAATCACAAATACATAAGAAAGTCATACCTCTGATAGTGAGCCTGATTCACTATCCAGCCAGAATGTTACAAATGTTCACAGAAAATATCTGCGGTAATAAAAGTAAATAAGAAAATGAGTGATTTGAATTACCTTTCAGATAATTCTGGACTAATAAAAAAATTCTGCACGCGTCGACAGATCAAGCAAAATAATCTT